CAGTAGGGAAGAAGAGTGAATTAAAAAGTAAAATGGTGTGTGTGCGTGTGTGTGCGTGTGTGTGTGTGTGTGTGTGTGTGTATGTGAGTGTGTGTGTATGTGTGTGTTTGTGGGGGGGTATGTGTACATATTTGTGTATGTATGTGTGTTTATGTGTGTATGTATGTATGTGGGTGGGTGGGTATGTGTGTGGGTATGTGTGTATATATGTGTGGGTATGTGTGTGTGTATGTATGTGTGTTTATGTGTGTGTGTGGGTATGTGTGTGGGTATATGTGGCCATGTGTGTGTGTATGTATGTGTGTTTATGTGTGTGTGTGTGTGTGTGTGTGTGTGTGTGTGTGTGTGTGTGAAAACACCAAATTAAAACAATTACTTTGTATGGTGAATTAAAGAAAATATAGAAATTAAAAAGTATTAAAATATAAAATTAACACGTAAAATTAGGTTTCCGAGCCACAAAAGGTAGCCGCATGGTATAATGTTAAAGAAAATCCTATTTATAACAGCAGCAAAGCAGTATAAATCCTCAGGAATAAGTGTCACAAAGATGTGTAAAATCTGTACAAGAAGACTTTACTAGACCACTGAAGCACACAAAACTAAACCTGAACAAAACTAAAGTATCCTGTGTTCTTGGGTGTGATTAACCAGTGTTATAAAGACAGCATTAACACCATAACAATATAAATTCCAACGTAATTGCTTTCGTGGATACTAAAACCATGCTAGGAACCATCATGAATAGGCACAAAAACCCACAAAGGTCAGCTGTCCTATATGACACTAAATAATAAAATGAAGTCTCTATGAAAGCAAGTGTTACTGTCCCGAGAACAGATACACAGTGAATAGGATAGATTCTGAATTCTATCTAAATACTTATGGAAAAAATAAGGTTGGCACATTACATCTATACAAACCGGAACCCTTAAATACATGTTGCTGACACAATGAGACAGCCACTTACAAAACAAGAATGAAGTCAGATTCACACATCACATCATATATTAAAAAAAAAAAAAAAAAACTTCACTTTTTTCATTTTATATCCCTGGTTCTTTTTTTTCCTTCCTTCCTTCCTTTTGTTTTTGTTTTTCAAGACACGGTATCTCTGTGTATATTCCTGGCTGTCCTGAAACTCACTCTGTTTACCAGGCTGACGTTGAACTCAAGAGACCCACCTGACTCGGCTTCCCGAGTGCTGATATTAAAGACATGCGCCACCACTGCCTGGCTAACATCCCTAGTTCTTTAGGCCTTTGCACTTAGCTAGAAGGCAATGTAATTCTATGAACATTAAAAACTTTTCCTCAGTCATCAAAAAAAGCAAATATAAAGGGAAACAAATTCAAATCCTAGTAGTGCCAGGAGGAGGAAGTATGTGAATTCCTCTATCAACTCATTGTAACCGAAAAGCTTTCCAATGCTTGCTTAAAATTCATTGACAATATAAAAAATGACTTATGAATTTGATACAATATATTTTTCAATTGTATATGGTAAAATACAATCAAATAATGTTCAAAATAAAAAATTAGCAACACAAAGCATACTTACGGGCTAAAATCCCTAACATAGAGAACTCTTGGAATTTGAAGGGAAAGAGACAGAAAGAAAAGACTTCTGGAAAAATTAGAAAAGATCCCAGGATTCTAGGGTCAGTTGCCAGTAAGAGATAGACAGACAAACAGACAGACAGACAAGAAAGGGAAGAAGAGAGAAGAAAGGGAGGGAGGGAGAGAGATTGAAAACTGAAAAGCATACTAAGGCACAGGGCACTGTTATGTAATAAAAGAAAGCAGATCAATTTGTTAATTGAATGTGCTGACAGACATGGCCACCTACCAATATGCCAACCGAAGCAACTGACGTCTCTACAATCTGCCTCTGAGGACTGGCCCGTCTGCCCTCTGCAGCTAAGAACACTTCTAATTGACACAGTCTGGGAATCAGGTCAATCGTGAGTGCTTCAGAAAACTTAAAAAACATTAATAATTGTATGTATTGGGCCTTCGGGAGGAGGGCAACATAAAAGTAAGAAAAACAATCCAACAATGGTTGAAAAGCATCCTGTGCTTGCAGAACACTTTCCTCGTTGTCAATGGACTTAGGACAGATAAAGGAAAGTCATGGTGGAGGAGGTGGATCCCAAAGATCTCCCCGACTCCACAGTTCTAGCCCAACAATGGACAGATGAATGTGGGGTCACATGAAGTTCAGGCATCTGCTTACAGGTTGACTAACTCACTGATCCAGGACCTGAGCCTGGACAGTGGAAGGAAAGCAGATGTTTGAGGAGCTTTTAAGAGAAAACACATAACTATCTGGATCCCATTTTACAAGCAATAAAAGGCTGTGAAATGAAACCATTTTATTATCTTTAATAATATCCTGCTTTACTCTTCAGTTTCTCAGGAGTTTCACTGAGAGCAGTGAGATTTAGTTTTCTTGCTCAGATCTTGGCCTCTTCTTTTATATTTCACTATGTAAGTTCTTATCCAAATATGCTGAATTATAATAAAATACCAGGTGATCATTTGAGCCTCATAGAAAATGGTTAAAATGAGAGTAAGAAGACAGTTAGTAGTCTATTAACAATAATAGAAAAGTACTAATATCCACCTATAACTACTTGTTTTGTGCTGCATTGGTTAACAGAAATGTAAAATAATGGATCAAGGGGAAGCATTGTGATCTTTTTACCATTTTAATACAGAGATTTTCTTTTTTTTTTTTTTTTTTTTTTGGTTTTTCGAGACAGGGTTTCTCTGTGTAGCTTTGCGCCTTTCCTGGAACTCACTTGGTAGCCCAGGCTGGCCTCGAACTCACAGAGATCCGCCTGGCTCTGCCTCCCGAGTGCTGGGATTAAAGGCGTGCGCCACCACCGCCCGGCGAGATTTTCATTTTAAATGAGCAGGAATTAAGAAAAACTTGATCAAATTCAGGGTAACATATCTGGGCCCAATCACCAGTTCACACAGCTGATTCTGTCTGAGACAGAGCCATAGTCAGGTGTTTTCCAGAGCCTTCCAAGGACCATGAGAGCAAAGGTCAGCAAGCCTGCCCACACAAGTGTATGCTGGCCGCATCCACGTTTGAAAGCACTAGGTGAAGGTCACAGGGTAACAGAGCTGGGCTGTGCTTCCTCCTTCTGTCTAAAGCCTGAATCTGACAGGCCGGCTAGTCCACTCAGTCACTGAGGTAAAACAGTTCGTTTTTCTCAGCAACTACGCAGACCAGTTCTTACTGCATTTCAAACCTTGATTCTTCAGTTCTTCTGATACAATCAGAAGGCAATATTCTAAGGATTTGAGTTTCTTTTTCTCTAGATCACATTTGTTCCTTCCCATTTATTCACACAATTATCAACTATTCTCCCTTTCTGCTCTTCATATATGATCTTGTAAATCATGGGGCAATATTTCAAAAGGAACTATCAGCCCAGAACAAAGACCCTCAGAAAAGTTATACAGACATGATTTAGATTACAAGAATGAGAAGGCAAAAATGACCACTATACAAGGAATTTTGTGCTTGGTATTTAGTGTCTTTCTGTGTGTTTACGGTTTTGAGTGTGAAATGTATCTTCAAAACTGATGCTGAAGGTTTGCTTCCCAAAGCAATGTTCAGAGTGAAGATTAGACCATTATGGCTGGGACCCAATCCATGGACAGAGTCATGGTCTGGTGTTGTTACTGGGAGGTGAAAACTAAGGATGAAGCCACGTTGCAGGCAGTGGATCACAGACGATGTGCTTCAGAGACTGCCAGTGTCCAAATTCACTCCCCTTCTCCCTGCTTTCTGGCTACCCCATGATGAGCTTTTTCCTTCTGTGATGTTCTGTGTCATCACTGGCCCTGAAATAAAGCTTAGTGATGGTGGACTGATTGATAGTTCTGAAACTATGGGCACGACTGAATCCTTTCTCCTGTAAGTTGTTTTAATCAGGCACGTTATCAGTTACCAAAAGTGACTGACAGGTCATGTCCATCTTAAAGTCTCTTCTGAGGGATCCAGGTCTGATCATTTCATTAAAAACAGCAAATACCAAACGTTGATATTCTGAGGAGAATTTAACAATAGCCCATGTGGCAGCATTAGACATTCCGAGTTGTAAAAAAGGCAAAGACTGGTAGAATCTGAGTCCAGAGACCTCATAGCAGCAAGCCCGGGATACAGACTGAGGGCCATCTCTTGCCCGTGTATAGAACAAAATCATAAAGTGCTTAAGTAGAGAAGCATTTGAGAAAGCTAGCTGCATCTTCCTATTGTAGAAATTTCACCCACAACATTCCTTCCAATGATACTCTGGTCATGTATGAACACAGCATGGACTCACTGTATTATGGGGAAGCCCATTCAACCTTTATAAAAATATTTATTCTTGACTTTACATGTACGAGTATTTTACCTATGTGAATATATGTGTACCATATCATGTGTGTGCCTGGTTCCCCTAGAGGCCAGAAGAGGATGTTGGATCCCCTGAAACTAGACGGGCAGTTTTCAGCCTCCATGTGGGTGTTTAGAAACGAAACTATGTCCTTGGCAAGAGCAGCAAGTGTTTTCACTCAGCCATCTCTCCAGGCCATAAGACACTCTTTAAAAATATTAAAATTTTACTTTAATTTTAATTTATGTTTTTGTCTATAACTTTTTACGCAATATATTTTATCATATTCTTTCCCCTTCTCCAACTTCTTCTAGGTCCTCAACATCTCCTTACCCACTCAACTTCATGTTCACCCCCCACTCAAAAAAAAAAAAAAAACCTTTTAAAGATCTGATTTTGTTAAACGTTTCTCTGTGTGTTCAATTTGTTGATTCTACTTCATTCATCTAAGCAGCATTTATAGAACCACTGTGTATTTCCGTAATCATAAGATACATCTGCCCTTTTTCCATCTGGAGAAAAACCCCTGGTTAAAAACACAACCCTGCCGGAGTTCCTTTTGCTCCTGTTCCCCTCTGTCCTCTCCAGGCTCCGAGCTGCTTACCTGAATCACTCCTCCCAAGAAGGAAACCGCCGTGGCAACCCCGATTCTCTGGAGCTCGAAGTCGGATAAGCCTAGCACACTTGAGTTACTCTGAATGCTGAGGTTCCTGCTGCTTTGAGGGACTAGCCTTTCCACAGCGTTGGCTGATATCAAGGAAGTCAAGGCAAAGGTGCCTGAAAATGAGAACAATATTAGAAAATATCCACAGAAACATTAAAGAGTTGCTAGATTCTTTCGTGAATATTAAAAAGCCAACAAGAGCTCCGAGAAATATGCTCTACCCCACTTCTCGGCCTTTCACTCCACTCCATGAAAGAAACAGTACATCTGCCCTGCTGCGATGCCCACTGAGCTATCGTGTCTTTCTGAGTCACACACTTTCCTAACTCTCTGCATAGAGACCATCTAAGATGCAGGATTGTGGCCTAGATTTACATCCAGCCCTTCAACATACCAACAACACCACCTAAAGTACATCACTCTGGGTCTAACTTGCCTTATCCACTAAATGATACTCATACCCAGGCTACAGGGTTTGAGGGGAATAAAAGGAGAAAAGCTTGAAGACCTTGATGGGTAACTATAAACCTGCTGGCTAAAATGCAAGGTCCTCTGATCTACCAAAACAAGCTCTTATCTTCCAAGATGTGGCTCAAATTCCATAGTCATGACTATCTATCCAGATCTTCCTCTCCATGCTATATGCTTTCTATCTGCAATGATTTCATAATTGAGTAGACTTTCATGGACAAAATGCCAGGGCCTATAAAATGATTAAACCCACGGTGCTCACCATGTAAAGTAGAAACTGCTTTTAGCGTTCAGTGCTTATTTCCTAGGAATATTCACAGCCTTGATTGTAAGCAGGACTTTGTTCAGTATGCTCCCCTCTTCCTGACAAGAGCTCTCATGCCTTTCTTTCTGGCATAGCTTGCCTGAGAATGCAGCAGCATAGATGAGAAACGCTGGTTCCCCCAGGAAAGGTTGAAGAAACACATGCTGTGTTGAGCAAGCATCCCCTTACTTCATCACTTAAAGACCCTACCTTGTCCCATTTTGTATGTCAGCCTTTGGGGAAAGCTACTCTATGGGACATAGGCAACCTAACACAGACAAGATAAGGACAACAGAAGCTGGTCTTAGTGGAAACCTAGCACACTGTCTGCTTTTCTTACTAGAGCAGAGGATTTGGAGGAGATCTGTGGTCTGCACTGTGGGTTTAGGGCAATGTGGGGGTGTGGATCCCAATGGACTTGGACTTAAATCTCATAACTATTTCCTCAATCTCTTTGTCCAGAAAAAGAGCACATTCTTCATCATTTGGGATTTTTATAAGGCTTAAATGTCATATAAACATATCATAGTTAGCACCCAATGGTGTGTTGTCAGTACCCATTAAATGTCAACCACTCAGCTAAGTCTTAGTAAGACTGAGTTAATAATGTTCTGTTATGGTTATGCTCTGTTCTCTGAGAGATGATGGTATACAAATACATAGAAAAAAATAAGTATTAGTCTCTCTGTGAGCTAGGTGGTTTTTGTTGTTGTTGTTGTTTTGAGACAGGGTTTCTCTGTGTAGCTTTAGAGCCTGTCCTGGAACTTGCTCTGTAGACCAGGCTGGCTTCTATCTCACAGAGATCGACCTGCCTCTGCCTCCCGAGTGCTTAGATTAAAGGCGTGCGCCACCACCGCCCAGTAGAGCTAGGTGTTCTTAATAAATCAATAGATATTAATTGTTAAAAAGTGTACTCATCATGAAGAACTAAATTAAGAATACAACTAACAATAAGGGACAAGATTCTAACACCCATATGGGTAACTCGAAGTAAAGAACATTCATCAGATAAGACATAATTTACAGCAGATATCCTTAAGATCAAATGATACAGTAAGTGCTCTCCAAAGCACAGACCAACACACATTCTACCGAAGCCACATAACAGATAACTGCAGATTTCAAAAGAAAAACAAATGCATTAATTTGGTTTAGGATTCTATTTCTTGGTATTTTATAAAAGATAGGAAGTTACTGAATAAGACAGAAGAAGCCATCTGAAAGGCTTTGTTGTGGGGAGAATGAGCTTCAGTCAGCCCAATTTTGAGATAAATAAAGAATAAACTAAGAACAAAATTAAGGCATATCTAAAGGTTGGAGACAGTAAGACATATTGTCACATATTGTCTTAAACAATTTGGTTCTATTAGGATCATACCCAGATTTATTTTTCTCTTTTCTAGTTTCAGGGATGAATCAGTTGATTCTTTTCCATGACTTCTATGTGTCACATTATGTTTTGCACAATTTCATTTAAATACATTTTAAGTAATCATATTTTAAATTAATCATGAAAATTCAAATTGCTAAATAAACTAGCACATTTAACATTTCACACTTTGGCTTCAGGAAGTAAGTGATTTTCAAAGATATGTAAGCTCAGTGCAACTGTACTTTCTTCCACTGAGCCTGCACAAGAATGAGCCTGTTAATGGCCAACCATGGATGGCTGGGGGTGCTCAAGAGGCTTTCATGCCCTCCTCCTTCACTAGTGGCCATTGGTGAACTATGGGAATTGGGGAGTCAATGCCATCATTCGAACAACCATTGGTGAACCCTCTAAGTTCCAATGGAGAATTCCAAGCACACACTGATGGTTCTGATTATACATATTGCATCTTAAAGCAAAAACATGAATATCGAAAAAGGATTTGAAAAGAGGGTATGTTGACGGGAGAAAAGGAGACAGTGAAGGATAGAAGGGCAAGGAGCAATCACATTCCTTGTTTACATATATAAAATATCAAAGAACAAACTTAAATTTTAAAATGATTCTTGCATAATGTCGTATCGTGTTTAGTAATTTGGTATTGCATTCTGAACACCTAACTGGGAGGCTAAAATCCAAGATAAGATGCTTTTCTTTCACAAAAGTACATTGGTTTCTTAATAAAGTTTTGGGGTGTAACTCTCCCACCTACACTACACTATGACCAAATAAAAGAGAAATATGATTTGTATTTGTAAATATTTGTGGGTATTTTTAGAGATTCAATGACCCTTATAAGTTAAGATCACAGGAAGGTCCCCAAAGTCATTTTTGTAGTTCCCCTGTCATTTATATCAGGAGGGAAAGCATCATCTATTTGTTACCAGTGTTGATGACTAATATTAACTTTCAACCAAAATAGGAAGCTCTGGCAGGCTCTGAGAGGTATAAATTCAAAAATAGAAGGCCACCCACATTTCCTGTACAGTAGAATGACTGTGAAGTTTGCAAAATGTGCATTTTGAAACATCTATAGCTATTGATAACTTATTAAATAACGTTTTAGTTACAGAGTCCTACATAAATGGAAAATTTGAAACTATACAACCAGTAGAACATTTACAGTAATTACTTATGAAATGCAATGGTTTATGTAATTATATATTTCAGTATTATCAAATTATGTATTTTTGTAATTTGTTTTGAGACAGGAGTTCACTGTGCAGCTCAAGCAAGGCTTGAATGTGTGGCATGTGGTAGGATTCCTGTTGAAGCCTCCCAAGGGCTGGGATTAGAAGGTTAACTACCACACATGACGTTGACTTCTAGACTAATTATGGTCTATTGGGAAATTTCATTTCGCCTTTTTCTTTTCTCTTGTGTCAAACTGAAGAAATGTGTGTGAAGTCAGTTCTGAAGCTCTTGGCTCTTTCTTGTCACAGACACACTTAAATGCTCTGTGACAGAATTAGAAGACAGAACAACTGAAAAGCAACAAGCTCTCTGTAATTCCAGCATTCCAGAGGCTGAGGTCAGAGGATCGTTAGTGAAACCCTGTTTTAAATAATAAGTAAATACTGAAGAAAATCATGTTTAATTCATTCTGTGCTTTTCTCCTTTTGCATCTATCTGGAAGAAAACTCCCATTCAACGAGTGTTCTAAAACATTTTGTTGCCAAGAACAAAAAGATAGTTTGGGTTCCAGACTTGGCATATATGAGGTGTAAGTTGTATGTCTGTGACTTTAATCTGTGCTGTCACAAGAAACTTTGTGAGATTTTTTTTCCTAGTTCACCTAAAATGTATAAATAATACAAATTAACGTCCACTTTAAAGGACTGTGTTAAGACAAGAACATGTAAATTTCTTGAAATATACACATTGCTCTGAAACATAAACATACATAAAAACAGACATACGTGCATGTGCACACATGTACACATATGTACTAAAATATATATTTTGTATATAGTTGTATGACTCATAAAAGTAGAGATACATTTTGAGAATTCATTGTGACCAATTTCGCTGTTGTATGTATATCATAGTGCACTTATCCAAACTATATCAACTATGATGCCAAGTGTGACATAATATTATGAACCACAGTTTTATGTGATGTGTCATTTTGTTGACTGAAATATGTCATTATGTAAAGACGTGTGTGTGTGTAAAACCTCTTGTGAAAATACCAGTTCTAATTCAGCATGTCAGAAATAGAAACCAGTATCCTTGCATACCTAACAAGCCCCTCAGAATATTGTTTCACAGAGCACTTGTTAGGTGACAAGTCTGTAATGATGGCTAACTTTTGCTCTCTCGCTCATAACAAAGTTTGGTGATATAAAAACCAAATTTATACACATTATTGTATGAAAAAAAACCATACCAGTGTGCTGAGCAAAAATATGGCTTCCCAAGATTTCTATCCTAATCCTCTGAACCCAGAAATATGTATGCTCCATAGCAAGAAAAAATAAACGTAGCAGGCAAAGTTAAGTTCACTAATCAGCTGGTCTTCAAATACAGTTATCCTGGAGTCTTTGGATATAGCCAGTGAAATCACAACAGCTTGTAAGTACAGAAGATAGAGGCAAGAGAGTGGAGTCACAGAGAGATCTGAAGATGGCACCACTGGCCTTGGAAACTGTTTGAAAGGCCAGGAGCCCAGGAATGCAGGAAGCTTCTAGAAGACAGAACAGTCAAGAAGGTGAGCTAAAGCATGCAGTGATTGCTTGTGTAGGGTCTGGAAGACTTATTCACAGCACTGACCTCCAGAACTATAGAATTACTTCCTCTGTTTCAAGCCACTTATTTTGTGATAATTTGTGATAGTAATAAAGTAATACAATCAATAACAAACTGACCACAGAAGACAGATTGCAAACGTCACTCCTCAGAGGCTGAGATCTCATACAAATGAATAGCAATGTCTGCAGCTATTCCTATTGAATTACATTTTGTTATTAGCTGAATATTTAAGGATAAGGTGTCATTTTATAATAGGAAAACTCAATAAATGTTGCATTAATATAAGCAAGTGTTAAGTTAAACACAATATACTAAGTGTGTAGCTCTCACTAGCATAAGAAATGGGGGAGTGGTCATCTTATCATTTAAAAAGTAACATACAGAGTTTCAAAACTTTGCCCAGGGTCATGCAGGTGATAAACAACAAATGAGGCACGTGACTAGGTGTAGCTCACACAGAAGTGCAGCCGTTCTGCCACTGGAATAATCATGACCGTTCACCCTTTGTATTCATTTTTGTGTTTTTTCAGAGGTGCAGAGTGAGGAAGGGTAAGATACGTCAATTGAGTCAGGCAGTGGTGGTGCATGCCTTTAATCCCAGTACTCAGAAAGCAGAGGCAGGTGAATCTCTGAGTTCAAGGCCAACCTGGTCAACAGAGTCCCAGGACAGCCAAGAATACCCAGAAATTAAAGATAGAGAAATTCTATCTTTAAAAAAACAAAACTAAACAAAAAGATACATCAGTTAAAGGGTCTGTAGAATCTACTTAGAAGAGGCTGGGGTTGGGGATTTAGCTCAGTGGTAGAGCGCTTGCCTAGCAAGCGCAAGGCCCTGGGTTCGGTCCTCAGCTCTGGAAAAAAAAAAAAAAAAAAAAAAAAAAAAAAAAAAAAAAAAGAAGAGGCTTAGATCATTTAGTTCAAGAACCAAAGAAATACACTCAAAATATTTTTTAATATTTAAACAACTAAATTTTATAGTCTTTGTTTTTTTCAAATTTTTACATTCTCTTATTCCATTGTAAATTCATCAGTGCTTCTAGTTTCAGTTTCTTTTATAACACGGAATGTGGCAATAGATCATAGTGTGTATCTGGTAAATAAACATACCTCACCTATATCAGCAGGGTAGAATGGCTGTGAAAAGGTAATAATCACCTTGAGTCCCTTTTGTTAGTTATATGAGAAGCTTAAGCATAGACAGTAATGATTACCTGTGGCAACATGGCGTCCCATTCCAAATATGGCATAAATGATAGCTGGAAACAGAGATCCATATAAACCAAAGACTGGGTGTACAGATGAAAGAATAGCGAAGGACAGCCCTGTGAAGAAGTCCAGAGTAGTTAGGACCATCTCATGTCCCCAAGATACACAATAAAACAGTGACTGATGTGTATAAAGCCAAAATGAATATTTTAATTATTCTACTTATCAGCAAAACAAGTACTAGCATTATTGTACTAATCACGGAGACATTGCTCATCCATTCATATGTGTATTTCAATTCTCAGGACCACATGTTTTGGCACCCCTGCTTTTTCCCTAACTGCAGAGATGTCTAGAAGGAAATGGAAGTGTGGAGAACCTTCTTAGTGAAGTTTCTGTGATAAAGTCAAAGATGAACCTCTCTAGGCACACTCGGATTTCAGAAGCATTTGCACATGTCATTTTATTGTGCAGTAGCATCTGTGCAGCGCACAGGAACAGTAGTTTTACCACTGGACACAGGAGAAGCCTGAAGTGGAATGGGGTCTGGGCCTGGGGCACAAGGATAACCTAAAGCTAGCAGGGGGACTACCTGGGTGGGCAAGCTATGGGTGAGCATAGCAACAGGGTCAAGACAGAATCCTCTCCACTTTCCACTGACTGAACCCTAGACTGCATGTGAACTATAGGTTCTTAGAGTGGCAAAGAACTTGACTTTGCTTATTCCATGAGTGCATAAACTATAACTCACAATGATTCATCTTTACTTTTCATGGATACTACTGTCTACACAGTTTGGGTTACATCTACATAGAAAATTTTCCAATAGCTGTCTCAATGACCATTGATGGTTTTAATGTTACCAATACATGAGTTAAGACAAGTTCACTAAGATTTCCTGTCTGCAGCTGTTCTTGGCATTAAAGACCACCAGGGCAGCTCTTGAGAGTCCATTTGAGTTTAATACTTTGCATTTAATTGGAAAATAATGATACGTGGAAGCTCTACTAATGTTTCCTTTTTAAATCTTGTTTATTGATAATGGAATCCCTACGTCTGGTGAAAATAAATTAAAATTTATTACACAAGAGTCAGCAGCAGAAACTGCACTGTTTAATAAAAACAGTGGTGTGGGGTCCAATTAGGCCTGGTGGGAAGGGCTGTATTCAGATGCAGTTCTGAAACCCAGGTTGGCACTGGAAAGCTAAGTGTCCCCACCCCTAACAACCAGCCTCTCTTAGTAGCTTTCATGTAAATTACTTTGTAAGAAGTACTGTGTTTGCATCAACCCTGTGGAGGACTTGAAAATAACTGCCATTCATTTTTTTCAGAGTATGTTTTAGTCACCCACTTTCACCAGAGCCAGTGAGGAAGGCTGTAGGTAGCACAGTATTTGCCTAGCAAAGTTCTCAGTTCAGTCTCTGTGGTGGGGGGGGGGGGGCAGAATATAAACTAGACAAATTTTGTCACATATTTGCATTCATAGAAGCTTAAATGCTCCAAAAAATAAAGAAAGCTATCACCTAGTTAGAAGTATTTTCAAATTAGCACCATTGTTTGTCTTTTCTCCGCATTCACAAAAAAAAATGGTGCTCACTAAAGATATGAGCAGAGTTGCAACTCCCTAATGCTATTACCTAGAAAAATATTGTTACTAATGCTTATAGATACTCTATATTACTTAATCTTTGGTAAGGGTAAAAGTAACACAAATGAAAGTCTTAGGATATGAAAAAAAGAATCCGAAAAGGTGATGTGGAAGAAAAGAAAGAGAAATAAGAAAGATGGACAGATACACAGCTAGAAGACAAACAGAGAGACAATAGATAGATAGTAGACAGGTATACTATGGGTTGGTGGAAAGATAAATCGATGATGATGATGATGATGATGATGATGATGATAAAGACAGATGACAGATGATAGATAGATAGATAGATAGATAGATAGATAGATAGATAGATAAAACTTAAAGACAGAGATATTCTAATTCTGGTTATTTTTAAATCTCAAAAACCATGTATTGGCAGTGTGAAATATGTGAAATCATATAAGGCTGATGCAATCACAAAAATGGTTTCTAGAAGGCCTTAAAACACACAACTCTTATGGAGACATGTTTTGTAAGTATAGTAATGATCCATCAGAGAAGGGCAGAAAATACTCCAGTACTAGATTCTAATATTAAAATATCAGGAGATCAGCCCTTGGGAAGCCTATCAGCCTCTTGAGAAGCCCTGGAGGTTAAGTGGAATGCTCTCTATCTGCTGTCTTCCTCTTCAGTCCAGCATGCACAGAGAAGAGTTTTCCTGACTGCCCTTGCCTGCTGGCCCAGAAGGTCTTGAGAACTGGTAGGCAGCCCAGTCTTTGCCTCTGCTCTTACAATAACCCTTAGGCTGATATGACCACAAAGTGACTCAATCTCCATTGGTAAGAAAGAGAACAAGTTATCAGATAGAAATTGATTTCGACACTTAGGAGCTACACTTTTCCTTCAGTTTCAGAGCTGATCCTTTGACACCAGCATAAGGCAGGAAAGGCTGTATCCAGATTGAGTAATTCGGGACTGGGGACAGGTATTAGGATTATACCCGAAAAGTCATTCTATTAGAGGCCACACATTTTAAGGTCTGTAGATATTCATTTAGTGACCCCACATTATAATTGAAAGGTCAAGCACCTAGAACTCAGAAGCACAACTTTGTTCTCCTCTGGTATTACAGTACATTTTATAAGTTTAGCATTTGGTTCTAATATGAACTAAATACAACCCTCAAAACTACAGCTATAACAGCTCACTCACAATGGAATGTACTGTCCCCAGACTGTTGATCCTTACCACAACACCTTTAGTTATCATCATGGGTTGAATCATGTCCCTCATATAAGTAAGTCCCAACTCTCAACTCCTCAGAGTGCTGAAGAAATACTGAGACTATGATGATTACAGACACTTACTTTAAAGTATTATTGCAATGTGGGTAGGGGCTAACTCAATTCAAATGGAATCATTTTAGAGAAGATCATGTGAAGAGCAAGAAGAGTACACCCAAACACCAGGTGAAGACAGAAGAAGAAATTGGGGTATTGTTTCTTTTTGCTAAAAAATACTAGCACGTGTGGCAAAACACCAGAAGCAAGGGGAGAAGTGTGGGGTCTATTCTTCCTCAGGCTTTCAGGATTCAGTCTTACTGACACCTGCATGTGGGACTTTTAGACTCCAAGACCATAAGACAGAGATTTTAGATGCTTTCCCAACCATTTTGTGATTCTTTGCTGCGGCAGTCCTATGAAAGATATACAATGTCACTGTTGAGAGGGAGACAAAAGCTGAAGGCAGTTGGTAGTAGGAACTCAACCTCACATTCTGAGCAAAGTCAAAATACTTGTTCTTGAATAAATACTAAATATCGAAACCTTCAGATTTCTAATTCATAACTCATGAATCTTTGTAAAGTCATTTAAATTTTGTTTTTTTGAGTAAGTGTGGAGAGGTTATGAGGCTAAGTGTAAAAAACAGTCTTTGGAATGTTTGTGTGATCAGTGCTTAGATAGAAAAGATGAAACCTCATTCCACCTTTAACATGTGATGCCATAATTAGAACTGTGTGCTCAGGACTCAGCATGTGGAACTTTAAAGAAATGTAAGCCAAAGTGGATCCACAGTTATTTGGAACAGTAGCCAGTACACGAAAGCTTTGAGGACTCGAGTTTCCACCTAAGTAACAATGGTTCACTGTCTAGTTAAACAGCATTGTTGTTTGTCTTTCTGATTTCTAGTACCTAGGAAAGAAATGGCAGCAGCCCATCAGGAACCCTGAATGACCAGCTCATAGAACCCTTACGGCTGCTATTCTCCTATGCACCGTCACTGAATCCAACCTGAGTTTCCACTACAACATCATTGTGTGTGTGATTAGAAATATGTAGCCAGGCAACCTAAGAGATTTGAGATTTTTATTTTAAAATCAAAGTTGTTAACTTTAACTTAACAACTTACATCACTTGATAGATTATACTAGTCAAACAATATCGTTTCTGTAAAGATAGCTTATATTAAAGTAAAAGCTAGCCAGTGGTCAAAGCTTACTTGTTTCTTATAAAAACCTGGAATTTGGGAGGCGGTAGACTGACTTAATCAGCATTGGAAGTATTTTGAATTAATATATAACTCATCCTGAAGCCAAGGATTTGGAAGGATTTCCATCAGCACTGGAAGGCTAAACGTCCCCTACCAACCAGCACCTCTTAGCGTTTTAGCCCAAACAACCTGTAAAAAGTATTTCACTGAGCCTATGGATGGATGAATGGATGGATGGATGGATGATAGATAGATAGATAGATAGATAGATAGATAGATAGATAGATAGATAGACAGATGATACTCTCATTCCAAGGAATGAAGGCTAAATTCTATGGGTGAGAGAGAGAGAGAGAGAGAGAGAGAGAGAGAGAGAGAGAGAGAGAGAGAGAGAGAGAGACCTAATTAAATATGAAGAGAGGAGGCTGGAGGCATGGCTCAGCAGTTAAAAGCATGGATTGCCCTTGCAGAGGACTAAAGTTCAATTCCCAGCACCAACAGCAGGTGAATAACAACTGCCTGTAACTCTAGTTTCAGGTGATCTGACACCCTCGGGTCTCCTTAGGCACTTCGTGCAAGTGGTACACATAGACTCATGCAGACCTAAATACATAGACACAAATAAAAAAATTAAAATTAAAGTGAACAAAAGACTTGAAAATAATTCTCTGACCAAAGGCATAGGCATTTACTACTGTCCACATTACAGACATTAATTAATCAGTATCTGGCTGTGTTCTCCTTCTAGTTCCACATGAGTTTTGTTTTAGCTCTGCCAGTCAGTATTATTTAACAAACCCCTCAGCCAAATTTCAAAGAAACTACAGGTATTGCAATGCCACTGGACCTACACATATTATTGAAGGAAGTGGGTTGGGAAGAAATGATGCTTTTACTAAATTTCCATTAAAAATCTTACTTTGAAAATTTGACAAAGATTCATGAAAGCCTGAGAAAATGAAATTGGAAGAAATGGAGATTGTAAAGTAGAAACACTGAATGTGTAAATACAAGAAAAATGTGATGCATGCATCT